TGACGTCAGACACACCGTCGTCGAAAATGAGCATTTGGTGATAAGAGGATTTTAAGGCATGAGGAAAATAAAGAATTTGATTCTCAGGTAAAATACAGACCACCCAGCTAAAAGTTGACTTAGCAGAAGAAACCAGGTGTCGGGTTTTGACAGTGATTGATGAGTCAGTAGAGAGGCCCAACTAAGTGAATTTTGGGTGTCCCCGAAAGAAAGATGTGATAAGAATTATTTGGCAATCTGGGATTTGTAAATGTTTTGGCTGAAGAAAAAAGAAAGAAAAAAAGGATTTTGTAAACAAAATTCTGGATAATAATTTCAAGAGGCCAGTCTAGCCACACCCACACTGCTGAGAAATCATTGGTCAAGTGGTAGCATGGGCGATAGGCGAAGGTGAATGTATGAGAATGATGGAGAAGTTGTTAACACCCACTGAGGGAATTGGAATGAGGTACCAATGTGAGAGTGGAAGAGTCTAGGAGGATAACTCTCCTCCAACCTTCCCTCATGGATGAGGGAGAAACCCCTGAAATGGAAAGTGATTAATCTTCCAAAAATGGGAAGTAATTAATTTTCCTGGCCTAAGAACAAAGAGAATTCTTGCTGGGAATCGAGAATTATCAGGAACCCAAGCCACGTCAGGCACCCACCGGGTTTTGGTCGGTATCCATATAAACGAACATCTCGAGGCAGCTGATCAGTTTGGAGTTAGTTGGTTCCAGGTGTTCCAGCAGTTGATTCACAGTTGCAGTCAGGCCGTTGCCTCGTAGAAGCTAACCGAGAAATTCCACATCCTTCTGACTTAGCCTTCCTACTAAAAGCAAGATATATTGACGAGCAACTTAAGATACCAAAACTCGCTTAAGAAACGCAAGTGTCACGAATCCATAGAAACAGGCTGGGAGAGAAAAACACTCCTGTATTCAACAGACAGATGAAGATAATTTGTTATTTCTCAACATATTTAAACCTCTTGAGTTTTGTTTTATTGTTTCTTTTACTTATGCTTGTGCGATATCACCTTTACCCCAGATTCAGCTTGCACTACGGCTCAACACCTGATTGATTTCATCTACCTAAGATCAAAGTCACAACATGGGTAGGTTAGACTTGAGATCAAAGTAGTTATTTCGGTAACCAGATGTTGGAAGTGAGCTGGGAACAACAAAGCTGGTATCGAACTGGGAATGACCAGATCAACCGGGGCACAGGCTGGTGGCAGTGACAAAGAGTCAACCCCAAAACGCTGGTGGAAGAAACCTTACAGCTTTGTGCTGCAACTGGGAGTTGAACAGTGCAGTGTCACATATTAGCGTTGAGACCAGAGGATGTCACATATTGGCACTGCGACCACGACCACCAGTGGGTGTCACAATTCATTATCTATCTATCACTGTCAATTCATTATCTATCTATCTATATAATTCTTTTCATATCTATGTATGTATGTATCTATCTATCTATCTATATATATATATGTATGTATATACAGATGGATAGGATAAAAAACAAGAGTTACCCTCTTGATATATCATTTACATCCTGAAAACAAATTTTTTTTATTTATTTTTTATTATTCATATTTCTCCAACTTTTGAAATTATGAATTTGAACAATATAAATTATTAATAGTTAATTCTTCTATATTTTAAATAGACAAGTTTGTCAACCCAATTTTTTAATCACAACCATTAGAACATGACAGACAACAGTCAGAATCCACTGCTGAAGATTGCATAAACTGCACGAAACTCCTAGTCGTGCTATCAACATTGGATATTATGTATATTCATTAATATACATATATGTGTGTATATATATATATATATATATATATATATATATATAGAGAGAGAGAGAGAGAGAGGAAATTCAGTAGATATATAATCCAAGTGAATCCTATTAATCTTACTTATTATAAAACGCAGATTGTGTGTGTGTGTGTGTGTGTCTGTACGTTTATATATTGGATCGGATTTCCTACATTTTTCAACTGATTTCAGCAAAACTTCACAGGACTGTGTAAAATTACCTTGTGGTGGTTCTGACAGTGCCAAAGTTTTTGCACAAAATCAATTTGAAAACACGATTAAGTCACCAGAATGAAAGGGGAACAAATTATATCGAGTTATACTTATTATAAAACCCGGGTTGTTTGTATGTGTGTTTGTTTATATATGGGATCGGATTTCCTACATTTTTCAACCGATTTCAACAAAACTTTTTTGGCAGGTAGTGTTTCTTATTGTCTTGCACACTTTTTTCTTTATTTTTACATTCAGAATGCTTTAAAAATTCTATTTACAAGACAATTGTTTATAATAAAATTCTATTCAATTGATAGACCCATAACGATTGAAAACAATGTTTTTGTTTGAGTTTGGGTTTGACCAATTCGTTAAAACAAAAAAAAACAAAAGAAACAAAAAAAAATCTAATTAAGACATGCGTGTTCGTCAACCTTAAACAATAATCTTTGTCAATTTTATTTTTCAGTCTTTATGATGGTCGATATTTGATCTATCTCTTACTGTTATATCCCCGGGCAACGCCGGGCTCTACTGCTAGTATAATATAAAATAAAATATTAAAACTGATTCAATGAGAGTGTTCAAATATGTTCAAACAGAGCATATAAATTATAAACTATAGGAATTAGGATTACTCCATAATATTGATGATCATCATTTCACCTTGTAAATTAAGATTACAAGGTTTTTCAAATCCATCAGCCAGTTTTATTTTGATTTTTCTTGTTAAGCTGATTGATTTGAAAATCCTTATAAATTATTTTTAACTTATATGGTCAAATGATGATCATCATTATTGTGGATTTTTTAATTCCTATTTTTATATATATATAATATATATAATTATTTATTTATTAAAATATGGCATAAATTGTTATAAAAAAAAAATAGCCATTTTGTTTCAAACCTCTGGTGTCTTATCAAGTGATGATGTTGCACCAGAGATGTTGAAACAAAATGGCTATTTTTGAAGTGATTCTATAAATATTTATGTTATAATTTTCGAATAAATAATTATATTTGCTCTCTTTGTATTGAGCACTCTTTTAAGAATAGTAATTGTTGGTTATTGGAATTTATTCTGTACACAAATCCTATACTTGGGTGTATATATATATATATATATATATATATATATATATATATATATATATATATAAAAGCAGTATACATAATATCTTACATTAATTATATGACTCAGAGATTTATGCAGAAGAAATTTTCAAGTGCTGGAATCGTAATATTTATTTTTGCTTCTTTATTTTTATTTTTTATTTTTTTTATAATATAATTCCAGCAATTTGAAAATTGTATCAGCATGAATCTGCAAGTTGTGCAATTAATGTAAGATATTATGCATATTGCTTAATATATATATATATATATATATATATATATATGTATTTATTAAAAGCTCTGTTACATTACATTAAGCACTGTTTCTTCTTACACTATAGAGCATTTATATGTATTTGTATATGATCGTCTATGTATATTTACACATTTGGTTATATATATATATATATATATATATATATATATATATATATATATATATATAGGATTAATAGAAAATATGAAATTAATCCTTAGCTGATTGATGCTATATTCAGCATCCAAAGCATCATAAATGGATCTTTTAGCAATTGCTCTGTCCACTCGTCAAAAGCTACCCCCAATTGACTGCTTATTTTCTCATTTTCGATATTTTTATATTAATTTAAAAAATTAATCATTTATCTGCTTTTTATTGGTGCAAGGTTGATTTTTTTTCTTCTTTAATTGAGTGTGTGTGTGGGTGCATTTGTGTGTGTGTGTATGCTCAAGTGTGAGCATGTCTATATGTGTAGAGTGTCATAGTTATTCCTACTTTTCATTGTTTTTCATGTCTTTTTATACCCTCTCCCTATATTTATTTATTTATTAAATTTTATAAAATCAATAGAGTGTTCATTTCACTATGAAACATTATTGTAAGTTAACCCCCCCACACACACACACCACCACCAGCCATCTACATAAGCCAAAACAAATAGGCTCATTTTTTAAGTAACAAAATATATTTGGGTGGAGAGAATTTGTAATCTGGTGTACTTAATCAACTGTAATATATGCAAAAAACACTCTAGATTATGAATTTAATTTTTTTTTTTTTTTACATTTTAACAAATCACGTGGTATGAGGATATTTTTTTTTTTGGTATAGGCTTCTGTTGGGGCATCCATTTACAAAGCAAACTAAACCTCCCTATTAGTTTTTATAAAAAAATTATTTTTTTTTTATATATTTTTAATTTAGAGTTTTTTACTCTACAGTAATATGACAAAAAGAAATTGAAAACAAAAAGGATTACTTTTTGTAGGAGTCCACCTTTGAAATTTTAAAAAAACAAAAAAGTAGTCCGTTTGGTGTCATGAATCTTGATAGCATCTGGGGTCGAAGATATTGAAAATTTTTGAGACACATTTTAAAATGCTGTTCAAATTGTTGAAAGATATGTTTCATGTTGGTTGTTCCTTTTGTATAGTGGTAACTTTGAATTTGTTTTTTTAAATCTTTCTTTATTTTTTACTGTCAGGTTGATGTAATAATGTATTATATTATTATTTACTTACATGTTTACTTATTTGTCTTATCTCAATAGACACATTGTTCCTGGGTATGATAATAAACTACATCCAGCAGCAAGACCTCTGATTGGGAGTTGGAGGTTTTGAGGAGCATAGAACCACCTCTTAATTGCTGTTGTTCCCAGGTCCAACCTGAACTGGGGTGGTAGCACCTGTTAGGGTCCAAGTTATGGGCAAATAGTGTGGTTAAGTGGATGATCTCTTTATGAAGACAATGTCGAGGCACAATGCCCAAGTGCAGGAATGGTGGAGAGATCAGTTGCCATTAAAGTCTGAGTTAGGATGATAGTCTGGACAAGCTTAAAAAATTAAGCTGTTAAAAATTTTAATTCCACTAATATTATGGCAAGTTCAGCAACTCCTGCTGGAGTGAGAATTGCCATGCGTGCAGCTATCCAGTTGCTTGGAGGAGGGTCACTGATGTGGATGATGCTCCTGCACAATAAACCAAAACAACTGGTAAAGAAGAGAGAAGAGAAGACTTTCTGGTTTCGTCTGATGTGTTGATCAATATATATACTAAATTTTAATCATAGGCAAGTAAACCTACAGAAGGTGACATTGATTTTCAATGTGAGAAATGTTGTGGGAGGGTCTAAAAAGGAATGGTAAAGTCATGAATACAACATATTTGCATCTTAGTGGCATTATCACCTTCCTTTGGGTGAATTGATTAAAAAATATAATACATTTATTCCGATACACACACACACATATATATATATACATATATTTCGGCAGCATATTTTCAGGTTTCGTTAAATAATTTAAACGTGTGCTGTTTACTTATTCTTGATAGGATTCTTTCATATTTGCAAATAAGCTTTTTTGTGTGGTTATTAAAAGACAAGAGGAAAACACCATGTTGGCTCATATTGTGTTTATTCTTAGTACTTTCAACATAATGTAATATCATCATCAGGGTATTGTTAATTATAGAGTAAGAATTTAGTATTCATGGTTGTGAAGGACAAAAATTTTTGTGGCCATCCAAAATATATATATACAGGAATCCCTTGATTAGTGTTGTTAATTTGTATATCGGTAACTATAAAAAAAACTGAATTATCAATTACTATGGTTAAATTGAAGAATATTTTACTGCACTAATCAAGTATTAGGTATGCACTAATTGAATTTTGGTATATAAAGATTTTACCACATTAATCAAAAATTCATTAATCGAATGTACATTAATCGAGGGATGAATATATATATATATATATATATATATATATATATCGTATTCCTCCACTCTTTTGAGCAGGAGTAGAGGTTTATCCTTCAATTCCTGTTTAGGGTTTCTGGGTCCTTCTAAAATCTTCTCATTGTCTTTCACTCCCAGTAACCCTTTGCGTCTTAATGGCATTATCGTCTTGTTAGGAGTGAATTAATTAAAAAAATATATATGAATTAACGATGTACTAATATATGACATATATTACATATGACATGCTATGCCAGGAATGTTACCTTCAAATGTTGCAAATACATTGCGTTGTAACGTTACATTAACTTTTTTTTGTAGACTTCCAGCATTGTGGCAAATTTACTGGAACATTACAATCAACTGATTTCCTCACCCCCAAACTGACTGCTCACCCTCAACTTCGTTACAACGTTATGCTAATGTTGTGGAGTACTGTGGTCGAAAAATTCCATTCAAATAACATCACAGTATTTTCTTTTACACAGCAAAAATCATCACAATAATGAACTAATACTAGTTATCTCCCTTGCCAGTGAAATGAGAAAAATGGATTAAAAATAATAGGTTCTTTTATATGTCAAACAAACTGTCGCTGAAAAGAGACTTTACCCCCCCCCCCCATGTAAGATAGAACCTTCTGACATCAAGGTCAGCCATCTTGGAAAAAAATTAAACTTAAATCAAAAGTTGGTCTTTGCCAAATTTCAGAGGTTAGATCAATCAGTCAGATGATGTTTGTCTTGCCCAAGACAAACAACATTCATTGTGATGACTTAACTGGAACGTTACAATCAACTGATTTCCTCACCCTAAACTGACCGCTCACCCTCAACTTCATTACAACATTATGCTAATCTTGCAAAGTACTATAGCTGAAAAATTTCACACTGTTCAAATAACATCAGAATATTTTCTTTTTCACTTAAAAATATGTATAAAAAGCATAAAATTTCTTTTTGTGTATTTTAATAGAGAAACCCTTGATTAGATGAAGAATACATGTTCTAATATTTTCCTGGAATTTATTATCTGTTTTCTGCTAATGTAATGCATTTGGAACTTTAATATCCAGCTCTCATGGAATGTTCATGAAACATTGGAAAGATTTTATTTTGGTTGTGGGTATGTGGCATTGTAGTCACCTGACTGTAAAGTTGCAATCAACTTTTTACTTTGCCTAAAACTGACCATTTGCCTCAACATTATACTAATGTTACAAATTGGTGTACCTGAAAAATTCTGCACTGATAAAATGATATCAGAATAATTTTTCTTCACCTCACAATATGTATAGAAGTTATGAAATCTATTTTTGCATGTTTTAAATTGAGAATCACTAATTTAGATGATGAATACATGGTCTAATATTTTCCTGGAATTTGTTATCCATTTTCTGCATGTACTAGGGAGTCTACAAAAAAAAAACTGTCTATATTTCTGAGATAAGGTATTATGTACACTATTTACATTATTCGGACTATTGTCCTCATCTTTGTCGCCATATTTATTACAATGTCTCAGCCCTTCAGTATCTGTCTATATTTCTGAGATGAGGTATAATGTAGACTATTTACATTATTCAGACTATCATCCTTATCTTTGTCGCCATATTTATTACGTTTCAGCCGTTGTACGCTCCGGCCTTCTTCAGGTGGTTGGAATATAGAAATGAACCCTTTATTTCACTCACTAGAGTAGACTGTTCCATCAGAAGTTGTGCAAAGTTTCGTTTCGGAAGAAACATACCATAAATATGGTCACAGCTTTCGACTTTCTTATGTCATCATCAGGGTAGGTAGATACAATTGGTGAGCATATTATTTATATATTATATATGCATAGTACTTATTGGAAAGCGCTCACTATCAGTATCTGTCTATATTTCTGAGATGAGGTATTATGTACACTTTTTACATTATTCGGACGTTTGATCTCAACTTTGTCGCCATATTTATTACAACGTTTTGGCTGTTGTATGCTCCGGCCTTCTTCAGGTGGTTGGAATGTAAAAATGAACCCTTTATTTTGCTCACTGAGGTAGACTGTTCTAGCTCCATGTGCCATGTCTAATGGATGTCAGTTATCAGTTATCTCCTGTTAATTCTCCTCTCCAACTTCTCCACTGCCTTAACCACGTATTGAACTCACACTTTTTTGGGTCCTGTCACTGGATCTAACTAACGCCTAACAGATGTCCCAAGGACACATGGCAGATTGGATAAAGGTATTGGTTAGATCCAGTGACAGGACCCAAAGAGTGTGATTTCAATACCCAGTTAAGGCAGTGGAGAACTTGGAGAGGGGAATTAACAGGAGATAACTGATAACTGACATCCATTAGACATGGCACCTGGAACTAGAACAGTCTACCCCAGTGAGTGAAATAAAGGGTTCAGTTCAACATTCCAACCACCTGAACAAGGCCGGAGTGTACAACGGCCGAAACGTTGTAATAAATATGTCAACAAAGATGAGGACAATAGTCCAAATAATGTAAATAGTGTAAAAAAGAACTGTTTTTGCAACCTTCAAGCAACAGAAATATGATTTTACAGAAGGATGATGAGAATACCAAGGTCCAGACTTGTGAGCAGTGACAAAGTTTTAAATAAAATGGAACCAAAAAGAACACATACACATCAGGCAGAGATAGTTAAAATTTCTGTTACACATAATGAGAAAAAAAGGCTTGGAAAATTTAATACTCCCAGGATAGACTGCAGGCAAGAGGAAAACCTACATGGTAAGCTTGAGTAAATGGATGGCAGAACAAGGTTTAGTAGAGATAACAAAAAGACAAAATTTATTAAGAGCTACAAAGGAGAGGAAATTGTGGAGAGCCATGATCCTCAATGTCCTGAAGGGACACAGCACATAGAAAAAGATGTAATGCTACAGAAATATTTTAGCAATACCATTTTGTTTTGGATTTTGAGGTGTTTATTGGTTTGCAGTTGTAAGATTTTTTTGTATAGAATTTCATTTTCAAAACTGGAGTGTAGACAGAAATTTGGCCTGAGGTTAAGAAATTCCTTTGGCTGTCTGGTAAGTTGGTAACTAGAGAGATTGGTAAATAAATTTGTCTCAGTGGCACTTTTCAATATGACACTGACAACATTAATGTTGCTGATAATGACAAGAGACAGTCAAAAGTAATCGAACAAAAACATAATGGATTTTGGATAGTTTCTCCATAAATTTGATTTGAATGTGTGATAATTTCTGCACTAACTGGAAAAATATCATCTAAAATTAAACAGATAAACATTGTTGTTGTATCTTAACATTTAGCATGATGCATCATTTATAAATATTACTTCTCCTTTTACTGTATATGGAATCCCATCAAAATATATTGTTTTATATATTAGTTCTATATATTTGAAATTACAGTAGCCTGGCTCTCAATTTCAGTCAAGATTGTTTTAGGTGTTGCCATAGAAGGATATGCCTACACAACCAAGAAATGCAAATTCAGCTTGCATTGGCAGGACTAACATTTTGCTTGTCATAAATAATCACCTACAGAGTGCAGAAGGTTAATATAATTTGTTTGAACATAAATTTGGTTAAAGATCAATGAACGTTTGTTGGGAAGGACTTTTTTTTTAAACGTATTTCATCAATATTACAGATTATTTTCCTGGTTTCACAAACATATTTAAATATAAATTATCCAATATCTAGGTAGTTTCTGCTATTGCTAGCCATTATCTATGTATCTCAGTCACTTCATTATTTATCTATATTATAATACATATATTATTATGTATTATTATAATACATATGTATATACAGACTGTATTTCAGTCTACTCATATTTATTTAACTCTATTCAAATCTATTTCTTTCAATTTGTATCTGTTTCAGTCTACTGTATCCATCGATTTAGTTCACTCTATTCACATCTATCTCAGCCTCTTCCTTATCTATCTATCTCTCTCAGTCTCTTCACATCTATCTATCTATCTCTCTCAGTCTCTTCACATTTATCCATCTATTTCAGCCTCTTCTTTATCTATCTATCTATCTATCTACTTCAGTTTCTTCACATTTATCTATCTATCTATTTCAGCCTCTTCTTTATCTATCTATCTACCTCAGTCTCTTCACATCTATCTATCTATCTATCTCGGTCACTTCCCATCTATCTATCTATTTTAGCCTCTTCTTTATCTATCTACTTCAGTTTCTTCACATCTATCTATCTATCTATCTCAGTCTCTTCACATTTATCTATCTATTTCAGCCTCTTCTTTATCTATCTATCTACTTCAGTTTCTTCACATCTATCTATCTATCTATTTCAGCCTCTTCTTTATCTATCTATCTATCTACCTCAGTCTCTTCACATCTATCTACCTATCTATCTATCTCGGTCACTTCCCATCTATCTATTTATTTCAGCCTCTTCATTATCTATCTATCTATCGATCTCAGTCTGTTCATATCTATCTACCTATCTCAGGATATTAACATCTATTCAATCTCAGTCTATTCACATCTATCTATCAAGCCCAGTTTATTCACATCTATGTATCTATCTACCTCAGTCTATTCACATCTATCTATCCAGCTCAGTTTATTCATATCTATCTACGTTTATTCACAACTATCTCACTCTCTTCATATCTTTCTATTTGCATCTATCTATATATCTTAGTCTGTTCACATCTATCTCAATTTATTCATTAACTATCTATAATATAGAATAATTAATGTATTTTGGGGCAGCAACCTTTCTTTTAAACATCTTTTGTTATATATGCTGGACAAGGAAAATTTTATTAATTTTTAATTTAGTTTTTCCAGTGTTCTTACAGTTTTCCGTTTGGTGGGAGTATTATTATTATGATATTATCTGTCTAAAGACTTTATGATTGATCTATCTGATATTAAGCAATGTCGGTGTCTGTCTTTATCTGAATTAAAAATTTTAAGTATATATATATATATATATATATATATATATATATGTAAGTGTGTCTATGTGTATTGTAAAATTCTGCATCATGTTATTCTGTGTTGATTAAATCGCTTATTGTTTTTGAAGTCAATTTTTATATTATGATCAGATAAATTCTTTTCAATTCCAGTCATTGCAGAGTTGGTAGGTCATATTATGTACATAATTTTCGGTGTTTGAAAAAGAGGTAACATCTTGTTTTTAAATGTACTTAAAAATCATTTAATCACCAAATACTTCCCGTTGCCTGAAGAAATACAATAATAGTATTGAAACATAAAATTGTGTAGCGATTTCAAAATGTTTTTTATTATAATCTCTTATAATAATAATAATATATTGCTCTACTTTGTATTAAGCACTTTTTTTTTTTAAAAGTAAAGGCTATGAATAGTAGAATTTTATTTCATCTGTTCTTTTCTCATTTGGATATATATATATATATATATATATATATATATATATATATACACTATTTTTGCTATCTTTAATATACAATTATTGTCATTATTAAACTATAATGCATATAACATTAATGCTAACCTATTATTTTCAGTATCTTATTTTTATCATTATTATTGTTTTTCTCTTATTTTTACCTTTAGTCTTACTACCAGAAACGTTTTTATTATGTTTATTTATTCATTTATTTATTATTTTATTTTTATTTATTATTTATTTATTTGTTCTTATTCATTTATATATTTATATGTTGTTTTTATTTTATTTTATTTCCATTGATATGTATTATTTTTATTAGTATATTAATTTTATTTTATCACTGCATATTTTATTGTTATTAATATCATTACTTTCATTAAGTTTATTAATATTAATAATATTATTTTCTTTTTTGATTTTCAAGCAAACAAATAGCTACTCCCCTTGATTTCCAAATGTTTTTTCCTTTTAATAACAATAGCGTCTGTTTTTAAATTAGAATTTATAATTCTTATTTCCAAACACATTTTCAATCTTAAATTTTAATCTGTGCTTAAATTCAAATCCAAAATTAAACTACAATTCATTTAAATAATTAACAACAATAATAATCCACCCTAACAGTAAAATATATCGCAATAACCAGAAATATTAAGTAAGTGGTGTTAACCTAAAAACATTGCACCTGAAGATTGCAGAAGGCATGAAACTCTGACTTGTGCAATTAATGTAGGGTATTATGTATATTTTTTTAATATATATATGTGTGTGTGTAAATTATTTCCAGATTGAGTTTATCTGTAAAGGAACAAAATGAATAGAAAGACAAGAGGAAAAAACTATTCATAGCTGATGTGTTTTGATGTGTTTTATCAAAAGGCAAATGTCACATTTGCCTTGATAAAGCCGCTCAGAGGAAGAAAAGCATCAGATAAGAATAGTTTTTCCTCCAGTTTTTTTTATTCATATATATATATATAATTTTAAACCAATTTAATAATCTGAATCATAATACAAATTCCAAGGAAAATATTGTTAATGATACTGGTCAGTGTAATTGTAGGAATTTGACCAATGCTCATTGCCAAACAAATATTTAGCTAAATCACTTATTTATCTTTGTACTATCTTTACAATAGAGAATCTGACGGTTGAAAAATTCTATATTAGCAGTACCATGAATTTTTTCAAGACTAGGTGGTATCAGCTTGTGTTGTCCTTTACTAATAATACTTATAGAAGTAATATATCACTTTCCAAATATTTTTGGAGTTTGAAAGATGATAATAAAACTCCTAAGGTGAAATGGAAAATTTCAAAAATGGCAAGGACATGTAGATCCCTATATGAATCATTTTCTGTGTTTACATGAAAAATTGGAAATTATTAGGTTCTTTGACGAGAATGCTTTATGAAACCAAAGATCTGAGTTAACAGTAAATTGTAAACACAGTCTACCTTTTGCCTTACAATTCAGTTAGACTTGGAATTTGACAATATTTTTTCTTAGATTTTAGTTGAACTGTGTTGCACCATATATGGCTTATCTTTCTATTTGTAAGATTAATTTGGATTTAATATAATAGTATAATTGATAGTATTAGTAACATTTTGTACGGATGTATTGGTATTTGGTTGGTATTTTTGAAATTTTACATTGATTGGTTAGTGTTATTAACATCTTATATAAAGAATCTTTAGTTAACAGTTGCATATTAATTTACCAAGTAATTTTATACACTTAAATCATTTACTGGTTTCTTAAAGAAGCTATTTATTTATCAACTGTAAAAAAAAAAATTTATGTAGCAAACTCACAAAGCATATAACTTGTTTAAAATTTTGTTAAATTACCACTCCATCACATTTTTTCTTAGGAAATGGCACTGTCTAGTTTGTAAAATATGTATCTATTAGCATCCTCTCCTGTTTAATGTCTGTGCTGCCATTGACTGCAAATCTATGGGTTATGACCCATTTATGAAAAATAAATTTTTAATTTTTGCTTCTTCACTTAGTTTAAATTTAACATCAGTCATATTCGATTGGTTGATTTGAGTAAAGCCCACAAACCTTATAACACCAACTTCACCTTTTTTTCATAAAAGAGGTTGTGTCTTGCTATTAAATCTAAATAAATCCTTCACTTGCCAGTTATTTATAATTGCCAGAGATGCATTTGTTACGCATCAAATCACAAATGCAATTGTGTAGCATTTTTGACATGTTTTCAATGTAATGTCCTAAATATATATATATTTCCAAGAGGATAGAATAGAGCAAGAATATAATATAAAAGGCTCAAACAGTAATGTCCTAAATATATATATATATATATATATACTCTCGACTCTCCTCTGTTAGCAACAGCACGTGATATTTGGGAAGGTGATCCCATTCCCAGCACCTTTGAAAAACGTCTGAAAAACATACCACAGGTTGAACTACACCTCATATGTAAAGTTGGGTAGAAAAAACTCTTAGTTGATGGTTGTGTGAGCACAAAGTCACAAGTCATCGTGACTGAGAGTTTGAGTGTACTGGCTTTGTTCAGACTGTTGATCATGCCAGATAATGTGCTCTTTCCCAGAAACTGTAACTTAGGTCTGCTCAGCATAGTTGCAGTATAAACCATGAGTAGGCTCTGTTGGTGTTGAATAAATGCAGATCTGCCTGAGCAAGTGTCTGCAACTGGGATGATAAGCTGTTCTAGCAGACAGGCATGCTCGTAAATGAGTAGCCAGTCATATATATATATATATATATATATATATATATATATATAGTTTTGGCAGCAATTGTTCATTTAAAATTGTTAAAAACAATTCACATTGCTTTGCTTCCCTCTGCCTTCTCTATAAATATTTTCAATGCAATTTGTTCTAATGAGCTTTCCTCCTTGGTACCTCAACTAGACGAATTTAAGTGTATTATGAGATTGGTAACTAGTGTATGATTACAGAAGGCAATTATCTTCCTTTGGTGGAGATTAGTTACATGAGTCATCTAACAGCCACTTACTGCTGTCACTTTATACAGTGACGAAAGTGACCAGTTATTCAGTCAGTTTACAGTAGCCAAACCAAGAGGTTGCTTTCATTAGCCCAGTAACAGCACTAATCAGCAGGCAAGTAAGATTTAAAGTTCAAATTTCACTACCGCAAATTGTCCTATGGGACAATAGTCTAATGGATTAAAGCAGTAATTTGTGCATTTTTTGACATAGAAATTGTGATTTCAATCCTTGGGCTGGGCATTGTGTATTTGGAAACAGGCCAGCGAGTAATAATTGAGCAGTACTAAAAATAAGAACAGAGATAGACAATGGAAACTCTCCAGCAGCTTACAAGTCCATGGTGCCATTTTCCTTTGGGAATATGTCTCTGCCAGATATAGAAAGAAACTTCTCAATTTGGGAAAACCTTGCCTGGGACATAGTAGATGAATCCGATCCATTTGAATCATCCTGAACATGGCTTCTCCAGAAACAGAAGAATCTCTATATTATATGAAAGACCCTATATTTTTGTTCTCCTTGCACTCTGCTTTGCTGTCTAGATATATGTGATAAATTATTTCTCTGCATGGGACATGTATATATATTTTTGTGTATGTTTTTTCTCTATCTGAGAACAAAGCGTATTTGTCATTCATTTTCCTTTCAGTCATTCTGTTCCATCATTGGATTATGGAGCTAGGGATATAATAATGCCCATAATAGGGGAAATCTAAATAAGAGAATAAATCTTTCTTCTATAGCTCTCTCCTGTTATACAAAGGTTTCATCGTTTTATTGTTGAAATAGGCGTAATTGTATGATCGATTTTAATAGTTTCTTTTCTTGCACTTTTCACCTGTGGAACTCTCTTCTGGTTTCTTGTGTTCCTGCCACTGATGATCTTCAAAAATTTAAATGCAACATCAATTGCCATCTGTCTTTTGGCACCTGTTCTTTTATTGTCCTTTTTCTTCACTTATCTTTCACTCTTAGTAACTCCTTGCATCTTAGTGGCATTATTGCCTTGCTTGTAGCAAAATGGTGTAAAAAACTTAGTATTTTATATTCTTCTTTTCTTATATTCTAATACTTTGTCTCAAAATGATTACTCATATGAATCGAAAGTTTGGACAATGCAACATAAATTTTGCACAATTCTATCTACAGACAAGAACATTTACCTATGTAGTGGTCTAGTTGTTTCAGAAGTTGGAGTTACCATAATATAGTGATTTGGTAATAAGAATGGACAATTGTA